ATGACCTCCTCCAAACCCCCCCAAAAAACCCTTTTTCCGCATCAAACCCCTTTTTTTTTGCACTTCCCTTAGGCGTTCCTTCCCCTTTCCTTTTATTTCAGCCACAGGGGTCCCCCCTCCCCCCCCTTTCCCCTCGGCATAATACTCCCCTTAAAATGCCCCTCAAGAACCTAATAACCCATAAGCCAAATGATTCCCCGTGGGCCCTTTCCCCGTCGGACATAGAAATCTCGAATCCCCGTCTTTGCCGTCCCCAACCCCCCATCTTTAACCCCATCCCCATTCTTCCATTCCCTTCCCATAAGCCTTTCCACCATTGTGCAAATAGGGCCCTCCCCTCAACAACTTGAAGAACCGAACAAATTTAAAAACCAAAACTCTTATACCTGTTCGGGCCGCCCTCCCTCCCCCAAAACCAACCAAAACACCTCTATGATCAGAAAAAAAAACAAACCAAAACCCTTACACTCCGCACCACAGCTTTTCTTGTCACGTAAATCCGTCCCCCGTGCCAAACATACCCCTGCCCTCACAAAGGTGCCGCCCCCCACGCCGCCCCCCCCCCTACATCCACCAACCCCCCCCCGTTAACAGGTCCCCCCAGAACGCCAAACAATTCCTGCTCCCCTAGGGTTTCCCCAACCTTTCCGTATAACGCAATTCCAGTCCCCTCCCCACCACCCTTTAAAGCTGGAAAACGACCTTAAGGGGATACACCCCAAAACTTCACGTACAAACTCATTCTTCACTCACGTCCCCCCCCCTGCCGGAAACCCTAAACACCACAAAAGACCATCTTAATTTTTCCCCATGTCCCCTCCCTCTTATAACCCTCCCCTCACCCCCCTCCTCACAATGATGTACAGCAACGGGCAAACCCTCCCCCACCAAAAAAAGCCACTCCTCCTTTCAAAACTCGTTTAAATGTGCCGCATATACGTATACCCCTCAAAACATCAACCCTAAAAACCCTCTTGTGGTTGTGCCTTGCACAAAAACTAAAATCTACACCAAAAACCTAAGCACTCATGAAACCATTCCCAAATTCCTAGGGAAAAATTTTAGACCATTAACAATTTTTGAGAGACCTTGAATTTGGTTTAATGGAGGGGTTTTTTTTTACGAAAAGCAAACCCCCTTTTTCCCCCCTTTCCCCTTTTTTAAACCCCCTTTATCTTCAATCAAACCCTTCGTGATCTGCTTTCACTGCCCCTGCCCCGGGCCCCCCAGGGGCCAAAGCCCCAAACCCCTTTTAACCCCAAAACCTTTTTTTCCCCGAAAGCTGTGCCGGAGTGGCACATCCCATCGTCCCACGCCGAGGGGGACCCCGCCGCTCTCTTTTCCGGGGACACTCGGCCTTTCCCTTTCCCCCCTCCACCTGGAACCAACCCCGTGCAAATTTCCCCCACCACGTTTCCCAAATTTTCAAACCCCCGGGCCCCCAACCTGGGGCCCCTGACATGCCTCCCCCCCCCCTCACCAAACCCGGGAACCCCCAGCAGCATCCAGGGGACCCACAACCCCCAACTGTGGGCCCCTCCTGGGGTCCCTAACGGTCTTGGGGGACTAATCAATGGTAAACCTTTCCCCGGCCCTGGCCCACCCATTTACACCAAAATCTTTGGTTTTGGGCCCGGGGCCCGGGCCCGGGAGTGCATTTTCTCTTTTCGGGGAGTTTTCACACTCTTCCCCCCTCAAGGGCCTCCTCGACCCCCACACTCCCCCCAAGTTTCCAAGGGAAAACCCCACCAGGGGCGTGCCAAAAACCAACGTCCCCAAAGGGCCTCGATGCCTCCCCTTTTGCTGCCCCCTTTGCCGTGTAAACCCGTTGCTTAAAACACCGCGCAGCAATGGATCATATGCACCACATAATCCCACAAGGGGGGGGGGGGGTTTTTCCCGCGTAATTTTCCCCTTACCTGAGTCCTGAAGTTTTTCAGGAAAATATAGGAAGGGAAAAAGGATGCCTCAATGTCATTTTTAAGGAAAAACTTCCTTTAGCATCCCAGAAAAATGATCCCTTTTTCCTTCCTTTTTCCCCCAAAGTCCCCCATATGAAAAATCCCCAAAATTCTGAAGACGGCACTAGGGCTGCCCCCATTAAACCCCCAAAAGGGGACATTTTTTTTTCTTCCAACCCCACGTTAAAATGGCGGGGCACTCATGTGCCTTACCCCTCACTGGGAGGATTCACTGGGAAAAAAAGTCTTGGGAACCCGGCAATAGTCCTCATATACCTTGCATTGAAAATTTCACAAAAATTCTATATGCCCCGTTCAAGGCTACACCATAAAAAGCTCTTCCCTTTGGGAAAGCCGTATTTTTCCCGATTATGGGAGGTAAAAAAACTTGAGCTGAGTGGGCATGCCAGCCCCACGCACCCCCTTTAAAGCCGACAGTGTTTTAAACCCTTTTTCTTGCCGGGTGCGCCATTTGAGAAAACCCCAAGGGTTTTCAAACCGGCCGACCCGCAGAGGCAGGCTCAGCTCACGTCCGCTCGTCCCCCAAATTTAAACGCGAATGACTGATTTTACTGTCCGCTAATTTTTTGTCCCATTAAATCAGATTAACAGAAATTTTTATTTTTTTTCCCGCCGCAAATTTTTTGGCCAAAATTCCCTTAACCTCCGAAAACACCGAAATTTTTGACACAAATTTTCAATGTTGGGGTTTTCCCTTCATTGAATTTAAACATGGCGCCTCCACCCCCCCCACCCCGGGCCCTTTCCCCGCAAACATACGTTTTTTTAAAAATTTGGATCAAATCAGCATCATTTTAATACACAATTATTATTTTATAAAATTACACATCCTTTACCCCCCCGGGAAAAATTTAAAAATTTTTCCCCAGTAATATTGCAAATTGGGGGTATAAAATTTTTTAATCAGGGAAATAAGTACGCTGAAAATTTGAAACAAATTTAGAAGAACATTTTCTAGTTATTGCATGGAGGCACAATGTTTTGTGTAAGATTTACAAATTGAAATTTACACAGCTCAACGTGAACACCAAGCTTTCTTTTAATAAAACCCAGCAATGGTGATAGTTTGAAACCGATCAGAAAAGGCTTCGCCAGTAATTTATCCGATTCCAATGAATCCAAAGTTTTTAAGTTTCAGTAAAAATTCAAATTTGCACCTACTCAGACTAAACTTACCAGGTATCATCCTTCAAACAGAATGCATCATCATTGTTATTTTGAAAATTATCAGAAGCTTTAATATAAATGAATATTGTTATTTATTCAACGTAATTGTCAAAGTGGGACCTACGCCACCCAATAACATCATGAATCTTGCATTCAGGAAACCACGTCAGTGGTGAAAATTTGAAACCAATCGGATAAGTCATTCTCCAGTTTTGAGACGGACTTCAAGGATTCCAAGTTTTTTAATTATTTTACCACATCAAATTTGTATGCATGCAAACAAACCGTAATGCGTACTATTCTGTCCCTGAGATGCATCATCCATTAAGTATTGAAACCAATCACATGAGGCAAGTTGAAATTTATTTAATGTGATTTAACAGGAATAAAAATTCCATACTACTTTACACATAATTGTCAGACCTGCACTTACAGCCTTGAATTTCACACACACTGACCAGCCGGGCTGTGGCTCGTACGTTGGATTGCGTGCAGCCAGCAGCAACAGCCTGGTTGATCAGGCTCTGATCCACCAGGAGGCCTGGTCACAGACCGGGTCGCGGGGGCGTTGACCCCGGAACTCTCTCCAGGTAAACTCCAGGTCATCGAATTATGAGGCACATTTCTTTTTTTTTAACATTTGAAGCCTATGCCACTGAGGGTTTTGGAAGTAATCCGAACCATTCCAGAATGCTGGGAATGGGTCTTACAATTTTGGTAGTAGGGCACATGAATATGCCAATTTTTCCATGAATTTGGTCCTTTTCGGTCTTATATAAACAATTAAGATTTTCATGCTCACTATTTTTGTTTTGTGTGACTGTAGCTAAACAGCCGAGAGTACTTAGCTAACGACTGGAGGTACTCAGGTTCGATTCCCGAAGGGGTGAGACATATGTGCAAATATTCTCCCCCCCCCCCGTTTACTAATTGACTTGTTGGTTGTATCTAGGAGGGTGGTAATATACACAATTATTATTATTATAATCAAAAAGAAGCGCTAAGCCACAAGGGCTGTAATATACACAAGATAGGGCTGAGTTTTGAAATAAGTGAAGTGTGATAACAATTGCGATGTCTGCACACTTCTGGCTCTATAATTTTTCAATGAATGATGGCGAATGTGTTCCCCTTCTTTTGGAGTTACCCTAATTTGGTGGGAGATGGCCGGTACGATAAAAAAAAAAAAAGTCCTAGTCCGTAAATGCAATTCTTCATTGTTTTTATTCTCACTTTAGTTTGTTTATTTGTAAACCTTGTGGCTTTAGGAAGAGGTACAGTATATGTAAATCTACCATTTGTATAAGGATGTGGGTGGTGATGCAAATGTATTTAATAGATGGGTAGGTTAAAAACTGTCTAGTGCTTATATGTGAAAGATAAGCTCAGATTAGGAGAGATTTTTTCCAGATGAAGTGGGCGATGTTACACATTAAACAAACAACAAATGATATTGCCCATCCATGTCTAACTCTACTTTTACTGGAAAGTGCTCCCTTTATTTCCTTTATACCTTAATGGGAGCCTCGGTTCCCCCCCCCCCCCAAAAAAAAAAATGACCTTCCACCTATTCCATACATCGGACACATTTGCCACATTGCTTCCCTATTCACCCTAATTATATCTTTGAATACAGTTGCCCAAAATGCATTGCATATTAGTGGCTTTCTTTTGTGCCTACCATTGTAGGCATTGTTTGTATGACATAAAGAAATCAACATTAAGTACTATTATTATATGTGGTCATAATCTTGAATTAAATTATTTGATTTAAAAGTTGGTTAAATAAATTTTATTACAGGACTGAAGGTTTTATGAAGCGATTATGTTAATTAATGTGTGTGTCGGCAGGTCCACTCAGCCCCAGCCAAGTCACTGAAGGAGTAGTGAATCCTACGTGTAGACGACTGCACCAGTGGTTGTGTAGTGTTTTTCATAGTTTCCCCAGGACACTCGGCAGCAAGAACAGGATCCACAAAGAAGGAAACACCAAAATGAAAGTTTATACTTTGGAGACAGAGGTAGTCAATATGCAAGCCCACGACCATGGAAGAGCTTGAGGGGAGCCCCCCCCCCGGGGAGCCCCCCCCCACCTTGGAAATGTTTTGGCCCCTTCCTGGGAATTCGCAGGAATAGTAAGAACATACAGCAAGGATAAACATGTGATCAACCTCTAAATAACAGAATAACAGCATTATCATGTGCAATACTGATAAGATGGGTACTATTTGCAATTATTTTGAGGGAGACCAGATAGATGATAGTGATGGTTGGCAATAATTTCGAAAGCACTCCCATCAAGGAAGGCTCCTTGATGCTGGTGAGGGGCTCTTGATTCGGGAAATTGGATCTGTGCTCCAGTTCCCTGAATTAAGCCTGAATACCTTCCACATCCCCCCCCCACAGGCGCTGTATAATCCTACGGGTTTAGCGCTTCCCCCTTGATTATAATAATAATAATTCGAAAGCACTGTACAAGCCTAATACCCAAATTAGATCAAACATGAATGACCTTAATAGGATAAACAATAGATTAAAGCATCTTGGGTAAAAAAAAAAAATTACAGGAGTATCAGGAGGAGAGGGGGTCACTTTAATCATTATCAAGTTAAGAAAGGTTGAAACAGAAAAAAAGGGAAAGCCGAAAGAGAATACGAAATTTAGGTTACAAGAGAATCAAAAACCAACCAAAACAGTTTCATTCAGGTATATAGGGATAAGATTTGGAAATAGGCCAGTTTTCATGTAATTCAGGTTAGCTTATTATTAGTAACAAATTATTTTTACAATCGAAACTAAATACTAAACCCACAAGGGTCATACAGCACTGCAGGGTCATATGTGCTGAAGATGAAATATGCAAAGATCAGAGACCAGTGAGGGTCTCTGATCTCCACTATTACTGACTGCAAGAGGCAGAGTCAGTAATAGTGGAGAGTGCTAAAGGGAAAATATAATCAAAGTTGATGTAATAGAGCAGTTGCTGACAAAAAAGTCAAAGAGGGAGTCTGCATCAAAAGTGGGACAGTAACAAAGAAATTCATACCATTTTAATAAGGTATTTCCTGTTTTTTATGCAAGAGGATACAAACAAAATCCCAGAAATCAATCATTATACTGGTCAGAATGAAAATAAATTATGTAAGATCAAAGTCATTAGTGGAGAGGGTTTTGGGGGGTCAACACCCCCACAGCCCAGTCTCTGACCAGGCTTCATGGTGGATCAAGGCCTGATCAACCAGACTGTTACTGTTGGCTGCACACAACCCAACATATGAACCACAGCCCAGCTGGTCAGGTACTGACTCCAGGTGCCTGTCCAGCACCTTCTTGAAGACGGCCAGGGGTCTATTAGTAATACCACTAATGTATGCTGGGAGGCAATTGAACAATCTTGGGCCCCTGACACTTTGGCACTGGGATTTGGATAACCAGATAGATTGAAATCAAGCAAGACATGGGTGCTGATGAGCAGTTCCTAAAAATTCTAAAGGAATATAAGGAGAAACTTAGCAAACCCTTATCTAGTCTCTAACAGATCAACTACAAATGGATATTGTACCAGATGAAAATGTCAGATGTGATACCTATTTACAAAGTGGGGAAATAGGGTCTCAGCTTCAAATTATAGAACAATTAGGCTAGCATAAATTGTGGGAAAATTGAAAGATACCATATTTTACATTTTACAGCAGACTGGATGCTCTGGAGTTGGGGATTCTCCTCCATTTCTGATTGGCTAAATTTTGGAGAGAGAGAAAAAAAGGGTATTTTGGCCTCCAAGTCACTGGATAAATTTCCAAGACTTGTTTTGCAGAAAAAATAGCATCTTTGATGCCATGGATACAGTAATTTAATCATTGAATCTCAGCAGTTTTACAAAGAGGCATCCTTGGCAGTGAAAATGATACACAGTACATAAAGGCTCAATGTTGGTCCTTTGAATATTTTTTGACTATAAAGAAGCCTTCCCAGATGTGTATCAAGTTGCTGCTACAATCACATTTGGGTGCTCAGCTGGAATAGGAGAGTCCGCATTTTCAGAATTACGTAATCAGCTAACGTGTCAAGGGACATTGTCCAATCAGAAAGTAGAACTTGCTTTTGAATCTTTATGCACAAATCATTATTCAGTCAATGCAGACCATGTTGATGTATGATACATTATAATTATTATAATCAAGGGGAAGCGCTAAACACATAGGATTATACAGCACCTGGGGGGGATGTGGAAGGCATTCAGGCTTGATTTGGGGAACTGGAGCACAGATCCAATTCCCTAAATCAAGAGCCCCTCACCAACATCAGGGAACCTTCCCTGAGGGGATGCATGATACAAATATAGATACTAACATGTAGCCTAAATGAAAAAAAAATATTATTTACCATACTGTACTTTTCTTTTATATGAATCTTAGTTTATTTATCTACCTTTTTTGCTTTAACAGTAATTTAGTGTTGGTGAAAACTAGGCAATACTAAATTTTAAAATAGCATTTTTTATTCATTTTTTTATTAACACATCTGCCATTTCCCACCAAGAGAGGGTGAACCAAAAAAGAAACACTTTCATCATCACTCACTACATCACTGTCTTGCCAGAGGCATGCTGATAATACAGCTCAAAAACTGCAACATATTTCTGCCCCTCCAAGAATGCAAGCACAGTACTTTCCATCTTCATGACTCAAGTTTGGTTAACTGGCTTTCCAGAATCCCTTCATAAATGTTTCCTTGCTCACTCTCCAATAGCAAGTCTACATCCCAAAAACCGTTTCCCTTCACTCACTATGATCCAGAACCCGGGGATGGAATAACCCACAATGGCAGTACCCTTGATCAAGGACTGCATTACGTTAGGTACATTAAGAAGATATACCCTTACACAATGGGGTTCACACGAGACCACATAAGCTTAATACACAAACTCTCACAGGTGGGCAGGTCTGACTCAGTAAAGGGTTACATACATGGTCTTGAATACACACAAGAGGGCAGGTAAAACCCAATATGAGATACACACAAGGGACCAAATACATACACTGTACACATGAATTAACAGGGATGCTGACCTGGCTAGTCATGACAGGATTCACACAAGAGACCAGATATACTATACACATGTAATGCACACTGGTCCAGAATGCATAACATGGAGAGAAGACCCACACAAAGCTTTGATTATACAGTAGGCCCAAACATGGGATTGTACATGTTAAGCATAAAAAATAATTTCCACTTACTCAAGGTATCAGCCCTTCAAGGGAAGTTTTTGATGCTGATGAAGGGTGAAGGAAGACTAACCATACCACGGGCGGGATTGAACCCGCGGTCAGAGAGTCTCAAAACTCCAGACCATCGTGTTAGCCACTAGACCAGCTAGCCACAATAAGATTCGTCCAACTAGGTATATTTCTACACCATAGGAAGGTTAGCATAGGCACCACTGTGACCACAAATGCAAGTTTTTACAGATGAATCTCCAGCTAGCGTGGCTGTGACGAACTCTAGCTCAAGTCCCCTCAATGCTGTCAACATGACTCACGAAATCGTAATGACACGATTGCAAACAAACCATACCATGGTCAGGATTGAACCCGTGGTCAGAGAGTTTTGAGACTCTCTGACCGCGGGTTCAATCCCGCCCGTGGTATGGTTTGTTTGCAATCGTGTCATTACGATTTCGTGAGTCAAGGAAGACTACCTGATTTCGTATCCCCCCACATAACTACATGAAAGGCCTCAAAGAAGGAACTAGCTAGACCTGGCAATTATACATTTTAAAAATAAAAATTTATTTAAGCATTCTGGCCGTCTTCCACCGAGGTAGAACGACCCAACAAAGGAAACACTCACTCATCATTCATTCACAGTCTTGCCAGAAGGACACCAACATCAGAATTCTGTAGTTAAGGATTTTCCAGAATAGCAGAAGCACAAGAAGCTGTCACAGCCCCCAAAAAGTGTTTTGAGAGTTCATATGAAGTCAACTGAACATAAACTGCAGATGAATTATCCAGGAACGCAGGAGGGAGAGATACATGATTATATACACCTGGAAAATCCTAGAGGGACTAGTACCGAACTTGCACACGAAAATCACTCACTACGAAAGCAAAAGACTTGGCAGACGATGCACCATCCCCCCAATGAAAAGCAGGGGTGTCACTAGCACGTTAAGAGACCATACAATAAGTGTCAGGGGCCCGAGACTGTTCAACTGCCTCCCAGCACACATAAGGGGGATTACCAACAGACCCCTGGCAGTCTTCAAGCAGGCACTGGACAAGCACCTAAAGTCAGTTCCTGATCAGCCGGGCTGTGGCTCGTACGTTGGTTTGCGTGCAGCCAGCAGCAACAGCCTGGTTGATCAGGCGCTGATCCACCAGGAGGCCTGGTCACAGACCGGGCCGCGGGGGCGTTGACCCCCGAAACTCTCTCCAGGTAAACTCCAGGTAGAGGGATAGAACTGCATGCCACAGTGAACAGATAACTGGTAGTGTGGATAAAATGGACTCCAGCCAAGACCTACTGGCAGCCACACCTTCATAACAATTGTTAAAGTGGTAGCAAACTAGAACTTAAGTACTGTATGACAGATTTCACAGGGCAGTTAAAGGCAATTGAGTAAAACATTAAAAAAAAAAAAAATGTTATCCATTGTTTCCATTTGTGTATGTAAAGGTAGGGGTAGAGAACTGCTAATTGGTGTAGAGAGAAGTTCACTGAGCCTAAATTCTTAATCATTGATGATGGCCACCTAAGAAATTAGAACTGTGCTCCAATTCCTTGAATATTCTGAATGCCTTCTGTTTCCTCAGGCACTATATGTTCCCTAGGAGTTTAGTGCTCCCTACCCCCCCCATGAATGTAATAATGACAAAGGCAGCAAACAGTATTCACACTGACAAATTATTATATTTAGGGGGAACTGCTAAACCTGTAGGGAACAACACAGTGCCTGAATGGAAAACAACTGGGTGTATGATTACTGGTGATGTATTGAAAGATGCTTTAAGACAGATGTGTATAATCAATAAAGCATTTAAATGTAGTCCTAGCCTACTGCAGAATATACTTTTTAGGATGTAAACTTTTTTACCTGGACAATTTTAGTCTCTGCAGTATAACCTTGACAATACTGTACCAGCTGATGAGGTGGAAAAATGATGTGATGTTTACATATGCTACTTCCTGGGAAAAGACAAAGTTCAACAACTTTTGTCTATCATAAGTGATTGTGGGTTACCACTATCATGATACTAATATTTCTGGTTTGTGACATGCACCTAACTGTCCCTGTGGTCACTGCTGACTATTCTGATGTACATGTTGATAGTCCTCTGAAAGGGTTGAAGACATAATTATGAGAGATAGTGGATATGGGATCACAACCACTAACAATGTTACAGACTAGTGCAATCAATCTATAACTTTATGTCAGTGCTGCAATCAGTGTTTGATTAACCCTTTCAGGGTCGGTGTATTAGTACAGCTTGCATGCCAGGGTTGGTGCCGTACTAGTACGTGTAAATTCTAGCACCTTCAAATCTAGCGAGAGAAAGCTGATAGGCCTACATATGAAAGAATGGGTCTATGTGGTCAGTGTGCACAGTATACAAGAAAATCCTGCAGCACACAGTGCATGATGAGAAAAAAAAGCACCAACTGTGTTTTTGGTTGCAGTGTAGTTTTGTACGGTATTTATGGTTGTATTCTCGTTTTCTTGGTCTCATTTTATGGAATGGAAGACATATTACAGAAATTGAGGTGATTTTCATTGGTTTCACAATGAAATGTACCTTGAAATTGAGCTCAAAGAAACAAACGTTTGATATTGCCAATATTCAAAAGTAAACAAATCATACCACGCATCCAGTACATGTCAACTGGTGAATCTAATCTTTCAAAAGTGCATTTATATTATTTATACCATTTCTACACTAATGCATTAGTCTGCATAACAGTAAATCTTCTATTTTTTGTGAGAATAAAATTCAAAGTGGAAAGCAAAAGAAATGTAAGAGGGGCTTGGGTACATGACTAATGAACAGAGAAAATGTTATTTTAGTGCCAGGAATGTCTTGTTTATTCTGGACCCTATTTGGAAATTGGCATTATGAAATTTGTGTGAAATTGGCAAAATTGCCAATTTCTGACCACTTTATTGGATAGCTGAAATCAGTAAATGAGTGGTTTCTTGTACTCATTCAATAGAACAAATGGAGTTCTAGCGAAATAGTTATGATTTTTGTCGACTGGTAAATTGGAATTGGCAGATTATTATTATTATAATCAAGGGGAAGCGCTAAACCCGGAGGATTATACAGCGCCTGGGGGGGGGATGTGGAAGGCATTCAGGCTTAATTCGGGGAACTGGAGCAGATCCAATTCCCTAAATCAAGAGCCCCTCACCAACATCAAGGAACCTTCCTTGAGGGGGGAATTGGCAGAAAATGGGGCTCAAAGTGGGCGAAATCGCCAATGCGTAAACATCGTCGAGACCACTAACTTCGTGAGAGCATAATTCCGTAAGTTTTCCATCAAATTTCATACTTTTGGTGTCATTATGATTGGGAAAAGGTTCTCTCATTTCATAAGAAAAAGTAATTTTTATTTTTTTGAAAAATTTTCGACCCTGAGAACGAGTTTAGGAGAGGGCCTCTCGACCCTGATTATTATTATAATCAGAAAGAAGCTCTAAGCCACAAGGGCTATACAGCGCTGCAGGGTAGGAAAGGAAGCGAGGGTATTGGGCGGCAGAAGGGGGGAGGGGCGATCAGTAGGTTACAGAAAACAGCGGGGCAGGGGATAGTGCAGGGTAGAGGGTAGCAAGAGATCGAGGTAGAAAGGGCTGAAGGTATCATCAGAGTTTGTGAAGTAAGTCAGTTGTTGCCAAAAAGTCAATGAGAGAGTTCGGATGAAAGGGGGTCCATCAGCGAGAAGGGAAGGTAAAGAGAGAGCAGCGGAGCGAAGACGACGTTGGAGGTAAATTCTGCGTGCTCATTGATAAAGTGGGCAGTCTAACAGAATGTGACTGACCGATATTGGAACTTGACAATTCTCACAGAGAGGAGCAGGGCGCCTCTCCATGAGATATCCATGAGTAAGACGAGTATGGCCAATGTGGAGATGGGAGAGAGTAGTCTCCCAACCTCGGCACTGGTGACAAGAAGACGGCCAGTAACCTATACTCGGTTTTAATAGATTGAAGTTTGTTACCGAGTAGGGTAGACCAACATTGTTGCCAACGGGTGTGAAGGTGGGTAGCTATTGCAGCAAAATAGTCCGTAAATGGAACACCTCTATATGAAACTGTAGGTCATGTACTGCTGACCGCGCAGCAGTGTCTGCCTGTTCATTGCCCTGTACGTCAACATGACCAGGGACCCAACAAAAAACAACATCTTTATGCTTGCTAGAGATGCGCGTAGCCAAAGTTGGATACGGAGGACTAAGGGGTGAGGTGTATCAAATTTCTGTATAGCCTGTAAAGCACTAAGGGAGTCTGAGACAACCACAAATGATGACATAGGCATAGATGCAATATGGATTAGTGCTGCAAGAATGGCATACAATTCAGCAGTAAAGATACTAGCCGAAGATAGTAAATGCCCTCATATGACGCTGTCCGGAAACACTGCTGCCATCTGTGTACACTGCAATGGCATGAGAATGAGAGTGGAAGTGGCCAAGAAAAAGAGAGCTACAGTAGACAGTTGGGCTTTCGAGCAAGGGAGTGAGAAAGAACAGACTCGAACAGCTGGAACTTCCCAGAGGGGTAGGGAAAAGTGAGATGCTACATGAACATAGAAAGGTGGAAATTGAAGAGAAGACAAGAGCGAATGTAGGCGAAGAGAGAAGGGATGGAGCAAACAGGGGCGGCGAACAAATAAAGAATGTCTACTAATTTCGGTGACCATTCTATAAATGAAGGATTGCGGAGATCATGAGAGCGTACATAGTAGCGAAGGCGATGGGCATCATGGCGATCGGATAAGGATGGAACGTTCACTTCTTCATAGAGGCTCTCAACAGGGGAAGAGCGAAAACCACAAAGGCATAAACGTAATCCTTGGTGATGAATAGGGTTGAGGCTAGATAGAATAGCAGGAGAGGCAGCTGAATAGATCTGGTCACCATAATCAAGTTTCGATAAAATGAGGGTAGAATGTAGGCGAAGGAGAGTTCGACGGTCAGCTCCCCATGAAAGATTAGCAAGGGTTTTAAGATAATTCAGCCGGCTGTGACAAGTTGTCTTCAGAGAGGTAATGTGAGGTTTCCAGGATAACCTATGGTCAAAGAGGAGGCCTAGAAACCTGACTATCACGTTCAGGGATACGGGTGCCATAGAGGTATAAAGGATGATCGGAGATGACAGAGCAAGCGTCTAGTGAAAGTAATTTGGTGAGTTTTGGTACTGGAAAATTTAAAACCATGTGTGGTGCCCAATTGGAAACACGGTTGACCGCATGCTGGAGAGAAACTGTAATGAGGTGACAGTCAGCGCCTGCACAGGCAATAGCGAAGTCATCAACATAGAGTGATGACCAAATATTGGATGGAAGACTAGAGGCCGAATATTTTATAGCAAGGAGAAAAAGTGTTGTGCTCAGAACACATCCCTGGGGGACATCTTCAGCTTGGATAAAGTCCGGGGAGAGCACATTATTAACCTGAACACGGAAATGTCTGTCAGTTAAAAAGTTCTTAAGGAAGGTTGGTAGATTGCCTTGAAGGCCTAAGGAGTGGGCTTGGGCCAAAATATTATACCTCCAAGTTGTGTCATATGCCTTCTCAAGGTCAAAAAATATGGCAATAACTGAGTGGTTATTCGCAAAGGCATTACGAACATACGTATCCAAACGTAGTAAGGGGGTCTATGGTAGAACGACCCTTATGAAAGCCATATTGACGAGTGGGGAGACTGACTGTGCCAATAAATACCACACTAAATGTCTATTTACCAGGCGTTCCATCACTTTGCAAACTGCACTGGTAAGAGCAATGGGACGATAGTGGGAGGCTTCATGTCCCGTAGTACCCGGTTCGCGGAAAGGGAGAACAATGGCAGATTTCCACAGCTGTGGAAGAACTTGTGACCAAATAAGATTGAAAAGGCGTAATAGGACTGCAAGGGCTGACTGATGTAAATGTTGCAGCATACGAATATGAATGTCGTCTGGCCCAGCTGCCGATGTTCGGCAAGCTGGGAGTGTTGCCTCCAGTTCCTGAAGTGTAAAAGGCACATTATACTGTTCTTCTCTGAGAGAAGAAAAGTCCAAGGGTGCTAACTCTCTGGCAGACTTTGAGGAAAGAAACGAGGGGCAGAGATGGAGCCCCTGAGAAATACGGACCAGATGATTGCCAATTTCATTGGCAACATCTAGTGGGTTTGCTATATCAACACCGGCAACCCACAGAACAGGAGCCGGGTCAGGAGAATATTTACCACTCAGTTTTCGTACTTTTTTCCATACTGCACTCATAGAGGAAGCAGAGGTGATGGTGGAGACAATCTCGCCAGCAAGTGCGTTTAGCGCCATGGATGACACAGTGAGCGATCACACGCTTCTGCTTAAAATCAGGAAGTCTCTCCGTGGTTCTATTGTACCAGTACCTGCCCCACGCAGAGCATTTCAAACGTACTGCACGAGCACAAGCAGGAGACCACCAAGGCACGCATTTCTGAGAATGCCTGCCCGAAGTTTGGGGTATAGAATGAGAAGCTGCGGTTAAAACGGAGGACGAGATGAGGTGTAAAAGCTCATCAATGGAGGACGAAGAAGGAACCTCACTAAAAACAGTTAGTTGTGAGTAAAGGTTCCAATTTGCCTGATCAAATTGCCAGTGTGGGTTACGAAGAGGTGGTGAATATGAAGGGGAAGTAAGAATGATTGGGAAATGAAAGCTGTCATGTAAATCTGGGAGAACAGACCAGGTGAAGTCTAATGCGGTGGAGGAAGAGCAGACTGAGAGATCGATGCAAGAGAGAGTATGAGTCCGAGGATCAAAATGGGTGCGAGTACCTGTATTTAAAGCATGGAGGGGGTGGGTAGCAAGAAAAGCCTCTAACTGAATGGCACGGGAATCACAGTGAGACCCCCCAGAGGAAATGATGGGCATTAAAATTGCCAAGTAACAGAAGTGGTGGCGATAATGACGAAACAAGAAAGTCAATATCCGGGATAGATAATGCCCGAGAAGGAGAGAGATACAAAGAACAGTGTGTATACCACCTATGCAAGTGGATACGGGCTGCTGTGTAATGCAGCGAAGTACGAACAAATAGCTGATGGTACGGAATATCAGTGCGTAGAAGAAGGGCACTTTCATTAAAGGTCCCATCAGGAAAAGGATCTGAAGAATACAATAAATTATAGCCTGAGATGAGATAGATAATGGCAGAGTGTAATTTTGGTTCCTGTAAGCAAACACCAACAGGGGAAAACTGGGAGAGCAACATCTGAAGCTCACCCTGATTACCCCTGAGGCCGTGAATATTCCACTGTAAATAGGCCATGATTGGCAACAATGAAGATACCTGAAATCCGCAGGTAAGGGTACCTACGGACTAGAAGGGTTAGAAAAGTCCACATGCGGTGGTAAAGGAAAACGTTCAAGGAGCGAAGGAATGGTGCGTTGTGAAGAAAGTTGTGCAGATGGAGAAGAGGAAAGAGAAGGAACAGAGGGTGGATCAGTGTCCATTGATGGTTTGGTCTCTGCAATATATTCAGAGATTGCTTCAAGTGTTTTGGAGTTCAGAGACGTCGTATGGGAGACAATATTGGAGATGGAAGGAGGAGGATGAGTAAAGATTGGAACTGTAATGGACTGTACCAAGGTATGGGGGGGGGGCAAAAGGGTGGAGGGAACTGGAGAAGTGTGGGAGGGGACAGAAGAGGGAGAAGTGTGGGAGGGGACAGAAGAGGCAGAAACCCGGGAGGTGGCAGAAGAGGAAGAAACTTGGGAGGGGACGGGTGGAAGGCACAGTACGAGGAGGAGGATGAACCTCCACACTTGTAACGGAGCCAGTGAAAGGGAAGACCTAGGTACAGAGACCGGGAAGGGAAAATGTGGAGGTGGATGAAGGGAAGGAGGGGTTAAAGGAGATTTGTTGGACCTCTGAGAAGTAGAGGGATGATTGGGAGGAGGTGTCGAACGAGGTCTTGTCGATACCGGGGTTTGTGAGGGAGAACACGAAGAAGGAAGGACAAACTGAGGTGTTGAAGTAGGGACGTCTGAGCCCAGGACAGCAAAAGAATTAGATACAGGAGTGACTATGGGACTGGCAACCGCAGAGGAGGCTGCAGAAGATGGGACCCCAGAAGTGGGGGAAGGTTTTGAAACACGAAAATAAGAAACACGGAGTAGTCTCCCTTGGAGGCGGAGCTGAGAAACTGCCATAACATAAGGGAGACCTTCTGCCTCTTTGAGGCAACGAATTTCCCGCTCATTTAAGTAGACCTGGCAATGGCGAGAGTGCGAAGGGTGAGCCTCATGACAATTAAGGCAAGAGGGAGGTCGACTGCAAGATGTATTAGAATGGTCATCGGCACCACAGACTGGGCATTCGGCTATAGATCTGCAATATTTTGCTGGGTGGCCAAATCGCCAGCAATTTCTACACTGTTGCGGTGTAGGGATCACCTTCCGAACTTGTAACCAATGTCCTGCTACATAAACAGAGGATGGGAGTTCACGGCTGTCAAAAGCTAAACGAGCCACACTGCAAGGGTATTGTCTTCGCCTGTGGGTGGGAAGAACATAAGTGTCTACCTTGAGAATTGGGAGATCTTGGAGTTCCAGCTGTTTGAGAATGTCATTGCCACATGTCTGGAAATTCTGTTGGACTATGGTATGGGGCAGAATAACAGTACCACTACAAGAATTGAGGGAATGATGTTTTTCGATAGTGATAGGAATAGTATCGATATGTGAAAGAAGAGAAAGATCATGAGCTTGGGTAGAATTCTGGACTGTGATGGTGCACGTACCACTCTTAAGAGCATGAAAGGAAATATCTCTACCAACGTGGCATAGGAGCGCTTTGCCAATACTATGGTCAGAAAGATAGGCAGTAGAAGAAGTCGGTCGTAAAGAATTTAGTCCATTGTGTGGTCCAAAACTGAGTGTGGAGAGGGAGTGCATGACGTGTCGATCTTTTCCGAGTAGAATGGGAAGGTAACAAAGTAACATCGTCTGGAGATTGTTGTTGGCGTTTAGAAGTGGGACCAGAGTCGGTCCAACGTGAGACGGGCTGGCGATTCGAAAATCGTCGCACCATAGAGGGAGAGGCCAGAAGCATAGTCAAAGGAGTGCGGAGGTCAGACAAATCGAAGGAGTCAGTGGAAGCCCCAGTACCTGAAGCGGGTGAGGAAACAGCACCAGCAAGAGGTACAGGGGCCTTGGGAGTGTCCAAAGAGTGGCCAAAAGATGAAGCGAGGTCAGAACAGGGTGCGGTGACAATAAGGGGCCCGGGGGTAGCGGGGTCATGGATTTGGGACTCCATGGTTAGGTTACTTCTTTCTTTTTGTTTTTAAGTAAAAAAAAGAAAGGAAAGAAAATAAAAAAAGAATAAAAAAAAAGGGGGGACCAGGGAGGGATAGTTCCTAGGAGGAATGAAAGGGCCAGAAATCTCCCTCCGCGCCCAAGAGGACCTCAGCACCGCAAGTATTGCAGGTGCAGCATGGAACCCGTGCCATACCCTACCCTTCATGCCAGTAAACCAGCAATCCGGGATAGCAACCTCACATCTGCCAAGCTACCTCGGTGGACAAAAGAGAGGGCGGCCGGATATCCGCCACAAAGCATACCTCCTTCTGCCACCACCCCCGGAATCCGAAAGGTGGCTTCCAGAGATACACCCATTGCCCGAAAGACACCCAAAGCCACCTTCCGGGATACCAGAGAGGGATCGGGACATCCCCAGGCGATCCAGATCCCACAGCAAACTACGCCAATGCCAAGAACCTCAACGGAATGGGATGGACCCCGGTACCCTTTCCCCTACCTAGGAACAAGTGTGCCTGTAGGAAAAATCCCACAAAAGGGAGAGGTGGGGAGGAGGAGGAGGAAAAGAAACAGGGGAGGATGGGATAGGGAAGGGGGGATTGGGGGGTAATTAGGTTCGGTCTGAGGAAAGAGACCGACAGGTCTAATTCCTCAGACCAAGAGCCTCTTCACCGTGCCAAGGAGCCCCCCTTGAAGAGGTCTCGACCCTGAAAGGGTTAATAGCCACCTGTTTTTTTTTTTGTGTTTGTTTTTAAAGTGAAGCTGGGACCTCTACCACAATTTAGATGGTAAAGAAGTGATGCTAATAACAACTTTACATATCAGTATCTTAAAATTATACTTATCCTGGGCTGGAGATGCTGATGTCAAAGCCTGGGCAAATTTATTTTATGCCAAAAAAGTTAATACTCAAAATAGTCCAATGAAACTAACAGTATGAACCCTTTTGCAGACTGTGCTGAAGTATTACGCCTTTGAGTTCACTGGCCATACTGTAGTACTATGTTTTGAGCTCGGCTCGCTCATAAACCGTTAGTGGTAAATTTGGGTCTCTATAGATAAAATAGAATGGGTCAATGCAGTAAGTGTGCACCATATAAAAAAAAAACCTGCAGTACGAAGTGCTATGCCTGGGGTTCTACAACGAGAAATCACCTAAAACCAATAATAACCCAACAAAAAGCTGCAGTGTGAATTATCACATAATCCACTGCTAGACAATACATCCTCCACTCTTTAAAAACCTAAACCTACTCACTATACAAAAATTCATTCATACTGTTGTGCAACCTACATTTACAGAACAATCAATTCTAACATAAATCCAGCCTGAAGTGCTTTCTTTGACAGTTGCAATAGGACTCAGACACAACACTACGCAAAACCTCTAAGGCTAAATCTTTTCAAAAACTCAATGTACATAAAAGGGCCCAAAATCTGGAATTCTCTGCCAGAAATCTCCAGAACCACTGGCTTAGCTGGCATTTTTAAAACTCCAGTTAAAAAAGACCTTATCTCCTTAACCTATCCCAGCCCATCATAAATACATATGTAAAAACTATACATGCATTTGGTCAATATCATGAACATAGGTAAAACTTCATAATCAATATATACTTACTCTCAATATCTGTATTCACCTCAAATGTTAATCACTATTGTGTCCACCTAAGGTTAACAATCAAAATTGTAGTTCTTCCCTACAAAACTTATTAAAGCCATATAGCATG